ATTAAAAATTTGACTAGGTTATTGACATATTTGATGACAGCCACAGTAATTAGACCACACCAAGAGGTTGAGCTTACAGTCACAAATAATATAAACAACATAAAGTGCGCCATATAACTGCACTGTTATTAAGAATATGCTCAGCCTCATCCTAAACTGGAAAATTTATATACATGTGGTTTTTCATCATAAAAGGGGATGAAAGGTTGTGAGGACAAACTACGCCACAATAGGTGAGAAACGTGGTGAACCCATCGCTCTCAATGGTGTTAGCAAAGGAATAGCTTGCAGTCATCCTAACCGAAAAATTTGTAGATCTTGAGGCTTTCATTGTATGAAGTGAAATCATGAGTACCATTTGTTTCTGAAAGTAAGCTAGCATAGTGTGCCTTCTTGTTTCACTGATATTACCGAGTGTTTACCTTATTATTTTTTGGATAATGTAGTTGTTATACATTATTTTATTTATCCATATTTAACATTTTATGTGAGACGTGTGTTCAAATGCTTGATGAATTTCTAGACACTGAATTTTGTAAGCTACACAGTAAGTTATCTGCACTGTGCCAACCAAGTATACCAAACCCAAATTTTTAGTGTTATAAACTCTAAAGCCTTACTACTGAGCCATCATGAACATGATAACGTAAGATACTTTTACTAAATTTATGAATAAAAACAAGTTTTTTTTTATTAAGTCAACTGATTAGTGCACATGTGTATAATAAACTCAAACAAAAGCATGCAGGTATATCAAAAGTTGGTCTTCAGCATAGTCTTTGAAACTACTCCTGAACCAGAAACATTAATCATTCTAACAACAATACCACACTACTATTCTTTAATGAGAATAATGAAACATAATAAACACTAACATGTATTTAATATAGTTGTGATCAAGATGATATGCATGAATGATCCCTTTCCTCCAAACACACACAAATGGTAGTACTAATGGGACCACACAGTAAGTTCATAATGGCTGGGGAGGACCATGTGCAACTTCATTGGCTAGCAAGAAGTTTATTTATCCTATGGTAAAAATTCCAAAAGTCAGACTATTTAATTTCAGAAATAATCTCACTTTAATAACTGGACTTTTTTTGGTCTTAAAAAATTATCAGAACAAAATAACTTTTCACACTGTGCACTCAACAATATAGGCATGTTTAACAATAGCAACTTCATGCTTTACCAAATTAATATAAAATAAAATTCAGCAAAACACACACGATTATCTCACATACATTCAAATACCTATGTTTATATATATATATATATTTAAAACTTCAAAGTCCACTCCAATGAAAATCCAACCTTACACTATTTTTTCACTTCCAAGTTTTTGTTAAAAAAAAATCAAATGTTGATCACTTTCACAACTTACAGTTGCTCATATGACTTAAATAAGCTCTATCAAATAAAAAAAATAATAACTCTAGAATTTTAGCATCAGAAATTTCAGAGAAGTGAATTTTAAGATACAAAACTATATTAACCAAAAATGCTCAGGGTCAGTGCATTGGATCAAGTCTGTAGTGGGGAAGAAAATTCCCCAAATACATAATACCACATTCAATGGCATCTGTAAAAGGTCATGGCATGTGCACTTTGCCCCCTACCCCTGCACATAGAGTTAAATTCAATTCTGTTTTATTGAACAGTTTTGCTTTAATTATAGAAACATTTAGTTTTAATTTAACACACGTACATGCATGTGCACAATTATTATTAGAAACATTACATCTCGTGGTCTGCTAGCTAAAACATTCTACACCTGATAGTAGTATTTAGTTGTATTACTTTTATATTATTTACTCTGTGTGTGTGTGAATGGGTAATTATTAACTACAACACCATAAAAATGCTTTCCTATTACACATTTTTCTTACAATCAGATTCTGGAAATACAAATAACCGTTATGAAGTAAAATGTAATTGAGGAGTCCTTGATTTACTTTATAATATATACATATCCAAATCCATACAAAATACTCAGGCACTATTAATATGTCCTCTATTTACTGAATATAAGTATACCAGATTCCAAGTAGTTATCATATCTCCTTTCCAAGTTGTTTTTCACAAATTGTTCAAATATAACAAAGATTATACCAAAACAAGCTGTAACTATACCACCATGTTAAACCTTAAATGTTATAAGGTGCAAGTTCATATATCAAAGAGTGTAAACTCACTTTCAAAGTTTTTAATAACTTTAATCAGTTGTTTAGGATGTATCTATACATCAAAGCCACTCTATAGTACACCTGGATGAGCTAATAAATTCAGGCATTGTAGTACATTGCTACTTTTTACACAGTTTTATATCAGAAGTTCAAGGTAATTGAGTACATAATAAGTACTTTAGTAAAAATTGATATTTTGGTGTTTGGAGTGTAAAATATTAAATCTGCACTTATAAAATCTGTATCACAAAAACATGCTACATATTTCTTTTTGATAAAAATTACTACTTTGTATGTTGCACAAGTAAAATGTTTATATATATATATAAAGATAGATAGATAGACAGATATAAACCTCCAGTTTTCTGAAATAAAGGGATACTGTAATAAATTTTGGAAGGTATATTTATTACTGTTTTATAGAAACATTTATAAAACAATCAACTGACAGAGAACTTTATAATGATAAACAAATTATTTGTTCATTTGTAGTTAAGCACAAAGCTACACAATGGGCTACCTGTGCTCTGTTCACCATGGGTATCGAAACCAAGTTTCTAGCGTTGTAAGTCCGCAGACATACCACTATGCCACTGGGGGGCTAAACAAATTATTCTATGAAATAGTAAGACTTAGGCCCGTGGACAAAAGCATGTGAAATATAAAATATTAATATCAACAAACAGTTAGTGTTTCACTGTTTAGTGCAATTTTGGATATTGTAAGTTGTATCACTATGTAACATTTTCTGTTCAGATCAGTTACATAAAATATAATAGACTGAAACTTAAACAAAACTCTCTGGATATCAATCCTAAATTAAAACCTCAACTTTTTGAATTCAAAGAACAGTTAATAACTATTTTATATATTTAACTAAAATAAAAAACCCACACAAATAAAAAAAACAACAGATATACAACATTTAAATTTTTTACAGTACTCATAGTTTTATGTCATTTATTTAAAATTGATTTACATACACACAATGTATTCAGCTCCACGTTTGACTAAACTTAGTGGATTTTAACCTGGAAAGAGTTTTTGGTATGTTTCTATTTGTTAGCAAAATATGTGTTAACATTTAATTAGTATGATATGTTTATCAATGGTTGTTTAATTCAAGCATATGTGAGTGGAGCATTTACATCATCGTTTAGCACTGTATGGAATTTCAACCTAGAAACACTAAGTTCAATGTATTAAGCTACTGTTTGTGGTCAAACACAGAATGAATTTTCCACTTTCATTTGAACATAGTAGAATTAATCACATGGCACCTCAACAACATGCCACATTTGTTTTAGCTGTAATATGTATTCTGATGTGTTAATACTTTATTTGGCACTTAAAACTTTGATTTATCAAATATATATATATTTTATTTGTAAACTGGAGATATTTTAACCTTTTCATATGTAATGATAATTTTAAAAAAATAGCATTCAGAATTACACTAAAGCCAGAAAGTAGTTACTATTAGTGCAACATCAAGACCTTTAAATTAAATATAATGTTCTTTCATATCTGCAGTACAAATGGTAGAAGCTAAAGTAAATAAGGCACTTGTCAGTTATCAGTTATTCCATATAACCTTTCAATTATATTAATATTTCAGTGAAAAGCTCCTAATGCATGTTAGAAACCTCAAAAAATATTTAAAATTTTCCAGTTTCTATACAATGTGGGGCAGTATTTAAATTTATTATCCATTAATATTTTCAATGGAACAGACTAGACTAACAAATGTTATAGTAGTTTTTTCATACTCATACTGCATGTAACTTTTAATGTTTTCCTCCAGTGTAAGGCAGGACATTTGAAACCATGTCTAAAAATATTTTGGTATGAAGAAAGAGAGAAAAAAGGGCATATACAAATATTTTGGGCTTAAACAAATCATCAACTATTTAAATTTACCTAAATATTTTTATATACACACACACAAAAAAAAGCCAAAATATACTAATACAACAAAAAATGACCTAATTTCTTGACAACTGAGGACTTCTTTTTAATTCTCACTATACCATTCTCTTTAGTTTCTTCAGAAGCAGTGTAAAAACATGTTTCTCACATGTTTTGCCTACTGTGTACATTGCAGAATCCTCCTGAAGAAGACAAAAGTGAAAAATATTGAGCAATAAAAAGTTATATTTCTGAAGTACTAATGTCCTTAATGTTTACATAGTTACTAAAATACTGGAGAGTTATTACAAAACTATATTACTATATCCTGTAATATGCAAGTAATGTTAGGGTTACTACTACCAGTATACCAATGACACCAAATGGTGTGAACATCCTTATAATTTTCTTCATAAACAATGAACATTGACAAATTTGCTTCATAATAAATTCTGCATATTTTGAAACAAATAAATAATCAGGTGAAATATTAAATCACTAATGAATAATAAGACCCTGACAACATTTTTTAAACAAACAAAATTATATTTCAGATTAAATTTGACAACTCAAAACTTTTTTTTAAAGTTAAACAGCAATATTTATTTAAATGCTCTAATTTAATAATAACCAATAAGATGAATTTTTCTGCTATATTAATCCTAAAGAACAAATGTTTTCATTGACATATTTTTTAATTTATGTCACTGTGATAAATATATAAAAAACATGCTAACCCTTACCCTTAATAAGTGACATTCATACCATTACATTAAAATTATTGGGACTAGCCTAAAACCCACTGCCTTATGCTCTGAATTAATGTTAATTGAAAGTAAATTCATGAAATGGATAAGTTAATGAGAGTAGCAGTGAACAAATGTGAACTAAAATTTACCCAACTAACTTAATGCTTCATTGCCAGGATGGTCTTCAGGATGTTCCACTCATCGCAGGAGGAGAAAATGAAGAGCATGATCAAGGTTACTGCTGCTGTTGACTAGGTTCTTGATGGAATTTTGTCTCTTTATACACAAACCAGAGGCTGGAAGCCCAGAGCAGAAAATTCCCAAATCCAAAAATCTGAAATATGACAGTGACTATTATCATAAGAACAAAAATTATGTAGTTTATTACACTTTCATCTAATTGTGAGTCATTTTAAGTTAAATACACGATTTATTCTTTAAGGTTAAAAGCAAAATATACAATTAAAAACTCTACCATTTTCTGGAGACCAGAAGAGATGCAACAAATTTAATTTTTATACAAGTAAATGTACATATATAATTTGCATTTATACAGTGCCCTCTACAGAATAGATTTCCAAAAATTCACTTCTGTGGCACTCGGGTCTAGATTTCTAGTTAAAATTACTAATTGTATCTTCATTAAGTTTGACAAGCTTTTAGCAAAAATTACAAGTCTGTTGTATGCACAAAAAATCTTATTTTTTTAGAAATAAAGTACTTGTACTGAGTCAGTTTTGAGTGTAAGGTGATTTTCATGCTATGAATAAAAATACTTTTTTTTTCACCTAATAGTTTTTATATTTTGTTTGCATAACCTCTAAAACCTTCTAAATAAATAACCAAAGTTTGTTTTTGGTAAAACTTTAAGCTTTATCTTTTATTTTCTCTACCCTAACATTAACTGTGATGAAAACATCAACGTAGAGTGAAATGAAAAGTTGAAAAATATGACACAAAATAACAAACTTTTTGTTATTAGAATGATTGCAGATTGTAACTTATAAAAGTAATTAAAATGTAAAAAATAGATACTTATTAGGTAAGATAAAGGAAAATAATGATAAACGTTTTTTTCCATGAGTTATACTTGCGAGTACCTCATGCATTACATAATTCAACAGGGTACCGTAAGCTACTCATTCTCCAAGTTGAGAGGCAGGATTATTAGTTAAAAATGGTTCAAAGGGCAATAAAACAATAAAATTTAAGTATAAACAGATTTATACTGTAACGAGCTTCAAGCTATTTACAATAAGCAAATGTAGATTTCTATTACAATTTGAAGTCATTTTTAGAATGAAAAAATGTAACTTAGATTTATTTTGTATTCTTTTTATGGTGGTTACGAAGTCGGTCAAATCGACCAACCCTGTATAGATTTAGGACAGAGAAAATAAGACAAAATAAAAAGTTTTACTGAAAAAGAAAATGTTTGAAATATATTTAGAAGGTTTTGGAAATTGTGCAAATAAAATTTGCTAATTTTCAGGTTAAGAAAAATATTTCTAATCTGAATATGAAAATCATTTTTGCACTCGGGGCAGTCAGCACTTTGACTCCATATATTCACTGAGATATTTTTAGTAGAAATTCTTCATTAACAATTCTGATTTTTTTTTTTTTGTCTACAAAAGCCTTATAATGTTTACTGAAAGTTTGCCAAATTTTGTGAAGATACACAAAACATATTAGAAGTTATAATAAAGAAACTCTAAAGGTCAAGTCTGGATAATGAACTTGACCAAATTGACTGAGCCCATAGCAAAGAGCTAAAATATACCATGGGTGCTTTAAATCACCCAACCAAAAGCTACAGAAAGACGAGAGGAAACTTTTTGGAGGCTCTAGCAAATTTACTGGTATCTCAGCAAATTAAAAACATGGGAAGTTCATATTTTATATGCTGGCCTGCCACTATCTGTAGCTTATGTTTCTAATTGGTTTTTCATTCTGAAAGCCATAAAAGTGATGAAAGAGAGAAGAGTTCATAGTGCAAGATGTGTGACTTGACAGGCAAAAGTGAAGTTTGAGAATTTAATTCAAATATCTACTTTAGAAATTAAGAATTAAAATTTAGTTAACTCTCTCAACACAAGCTCAGTCGATTTGACTGACCACATGACCTCTTTGTACTCAGTATAAAGTCTTTATAGATTTGTTACTACTAACTTTTAATACAGCATGTATATCTTCACAAAATTTGAGTCTTTCAGTAAGCATTACAAGTCTTTCACATACAAAAAAAAATATATTTTTTTGTGAAGTATTTTTAATGAACTAAAGAAAAAAAGATTTGTCCGTGAATATATCGAGTATTTGTTTTGAATAGACCATGTACAAAGTGATTTTATAAAGATCAATTACCCTTCAGAACAAGGAATACTCAAGTGAGTTTTATACTGATTCACTGGAAGCTGTCAATTTTTACAGTACATTCAAAATTCTTGAAACACATTTATGAAAAATGAAATTTTTTATTCTCTCCTGACAACCATCTAAACCTACTTTGGTCTTTCAGCTGATGATAATGTATAATATTTGAAAAAAATATCATAATACTCCAGTGTGAATAGTTTGAAAACTTAAACAACAGAGTACCTCAACATCAGCTAGATACTGACATCAGGCATTTAGCTTTATTTTAAATACAAGATTTGAAATTAAGTTTAGTCAAGAAAATACATATTCGTATTGATAGTTAATTATAAAATTTTTTATTGGCTATAATAAAACTGAAATTTTAAATTAAAATATACAGATTAATATCTCCATACTTTGAAAATAAATTGGGACATAGTTTCACTTTTATAAAGTCCAATAATGAAATAATTACTAACATTTTTAAATTTCTGTACATTAAACAATATAGTTAGATTTGTGCTACACCATTACATGCAATATAGCCTGCAAATGTGGCATTAAATAAAGCATATCTATAGTACTAAAATACCATAACCAATAGAATCAATATACTTTCATAAAAGCTAAAATTTTCAAAATTAAGTATGAACTTTCTAGGTTTGATTGATGATTTGCAAATTGCCAATTCCTATTTACAGCTCTGATATTTGATAGGAAGGAAATAAACTTACCAATGAAACATTGAGAGATGCATAATTACCAGTGTAAGTTGTCTCACACTTATCACCAGAACATGCATTGACAAATTCATAAACATTTTCAGGATTTGCATAGTACTTGACATAGTTGACTCCATGGGCCCAAGCACTAGCAGCTGACAACCACAATACACTCAACACAACAGATGTGGCAAGATCCTGGAATTTCAGCACAAATCAGTCATTTCAGAAGTTTAATCTACTAGATGGAAAAAATAATATATAGTCAAGTTGAAAAACACAAAATTTAACTGAATTTTGCTAATAAAAATGTCCAAATCTCCAGATATTAAAAAACAATCTATGACTATATCATTATCTATGATTTTAATATGCTTATTTCATTAAGCAGTCTTCTCAAGAATATCTAAAATAGGCTTTATTTTTTAGTCCTTTATGATCTGTCATCATAAGTTATGCCAACATTTACAATGTAAAGGAAAATATGAGGTAATCTCTTCATTTTAGTGGATTCTTAAGCTGTACTACATATGTTAAGACAGCATCATAGTAATTTTATCACTACTTATTTTACGCAGACATTATTTCATTAATAACAGGAATGGCTTTCAGAGAGTGCATCCCTTGACCCGCAGCGTTTTTAACTTCTGCAGTAACCAACCTAAGATTACACACAAAATAACTTATATTAAAAACTGTAGGTCTTGGTGCCAGGATTGTCTTTCTGTCTCAATCTGTTCTCAGGTTTTGAGTGTTTTTTAAAATTCCAATTTATAACCATTATAATGAAAATGTTTCACCTTCAAAATGACCTTTTTTAATCAATTAATCTTTGGAGGATGCTCAACTTTTGTGTAAAACTTGATCAAAATTAAATGAATACTCTAGTGAGCAAATTTTTGGCTGCATTTAAGCATGCAAATTAGTATGCAACAACTGTCCACCAACAGAAGTGTGACACACCCTCATATCGCAGCTGGCTTCCTCTATGCAGTTGAACCCAATCTTCACTTCAAGATTAGGCATGAAAAACAACATTGGAAGTGAGGAAGACAGGTGGGAAGTATGAGGAGAGGTAAGTATCTATTAGAAATATATTTTCATTTTAGGAAAATATTAACTTCCAACATGATTACTTACCTCCGCTTACAATTACAGCTAGAATCCCACATTGAGCATGTGGAAGGGACCAGTGTAAAATTCTCTAGATGAGCACCCTTCAAAAGAATCTGAAGAGTACCCCTGGAGTGTGCCACCTCTATGTAGAGGAAGCACACCCATTGGAGACTTCACCATCTCTGAACCAGGTATAATCTTACCCAGGTGAAGCCAACTGGTGTTGTGTTCAAATCAAAGGGTGGAACAAGTGATCCATCCCAAATCCAAAAGGAAGAGGAATGTGTGTATAGTAGCTAGGGGTGTGTCAGACCATAATTGGAAGGTCAACTCCAATTCAGACCAGTGGCACCAGAAATAACTCGACCATCCCCTGGCAGGAGGAGGGTCCTCAACCATTCACCTCAGGTGTAGGAACCAGAAGGGAAGAGGAGCCTGTGTTCCGAGCACCTAAAACAACATATGCGCAAATCCAACACAACCTGGAACAAAAATTCCAAGAATGTACATCCAGATGACATCAGGAAAGTAGAAATGCAATGCGGAGGGTTAATTCCTGTCCAAAACTAATCAATATTGCGAATGTAACATCCAGTATGAGGTAGGAGGAAGTTCCCAGCCCACTCACATGTGAGGACTCATGTTGGCTGTTCCAGCTCCAACCAAAACCAGCCACCCAGGAACTGATATGGAGGCAACAGTAGGAGGGAGGGTTCCCAGCTAGAGGGGAGAATTGAAAAAATAGATGGAAAATCTAGTCCAGACCAGCAGCATCTGGAATAAAAGATCAGACCTGCAGCAGGAGAATAGCCACACATTCTACACAGTCTAGAGAAACACATCACCAGAAAAAGTGTAATGGGTGACCACAAAACCCGATTTTAAAAAGCAGGCCGTTACCAATTCCAGCAATCTCTTTCTGCTTTACTCATGTTAGTCCATGAGTGTACAGTCCAGTATAAACATATTTATAATGCAATATATCGCAAGGAAGAACCTGCAAGCAGTCTTGTGGAATAACCCATTTCTACAGTGAATGTGGTGGGCCTTACAGATCTCATGGTGCAGAAATTGAATATTAGTATACTTGGACAGGCACCATTTGCCAGAGAACAGGATCCATAAGGTGTGAAGAAGGCCACTTTAAAAAAAAAAACACTCAAGAGTTGTACCGATGTATGGAGAATAGCGACAGGGGGAAGACTATATACATTTGAGGAGAAAACCACCAAATGGTGCAAGTAGCGTGACACCAAGGTGTGAGGAGTGGTCCACGTGCTGGCCTGCATAATCTCCTCCAAAGAACGACAGAAATGAGCAGACAAGGACATTGGGAGGTGACTGATTAGATGGGGCGATACACAGAACAAATGGAAAGGTTTAGGAGAAAGGGAGGAATACATGATACGGATAGTCTGAGGAACCCAAATGGTAAAGGGCGATATGAGAATATCATGAAAAATGGACAGATTCAAATGGATAAAAAAATATAAGTGAGAGACATGGAAGGGTGCTGTGTGTGACACCTAACACTGTAAAACATAGACTGAAAACACGAGACAATCCAGATTAGAGTGGGAGTGAATATGAGATATGGAAGGAAGGGAAATAGGGAAGAGGAGATGTAGATTGCAAGAACAAAAGGACTGGGATTGAGTGCCCCCTTAACTAGTGATGTAAGAAAAAACCAGCATGGCATACTAACCCCTGCATGTAATTGTTCAGCATGGACCCCAATATCAGGTAAAGAGGGGAATCAACCTCAGAATTAGGTGTGATCCATCCCAGTTCTACTGCAGTTAATAAGGTAGAGGGAGGGGTCAATTGACAAGGGTGACAAAGAAAAAACACAACATACCCGTGATATCAAATCTAAAAATGGTGACTGAGGTCTAGATGCTTCAACAGGCTGAGAACATGCCTGCACAACAAAGGAATGGGGGGAAAGCTGTTCAAGTCCGCATCATCGCGATTGAAGTCGACAGGCGATAGCAGAATTACTTGTAGATCAGGAGATCCCCCAGCTCCATGAAAGAAGCAATCTTTTGCCAATGAACTATGGCTGACACTTCCTCTGCCAATAATGCTGCAACTGCAGCTTTTGTCACAGGCTGTTGAACCCTGTGTATGCACATGGAATTAGGTGGGAGTTCAAGGCTAGTGAAAATTTGTGTGCTAGAGGGCAGTCAAATCGAGAATAGCTGTAATTGTGAATAGAGGTACGTAATCGTGTAGGAAAGTGATAATATATTTGAGCTTTTGAACTGTTTTGTTTTAAATAAACATCTGATAAATAGTGATGAATTGATTCCGTATATAATAATGGAAATATATATGTGTAGGAAAATGATAATATATCCGAGTTTTTGAACTGTTTTGTGTTAAATAAATATCTGATAAATAGTGATGAATTGATTCCGTATATAATAATAATAATAATAATTTAGTTTAAGTGATACATGCAATCCAGTAGTATCAATTACCTTAGCAGATGTGATAATAAATTTGGAATGTTTTTGTAAACATTCTTTTTCCAATAATTTATATATGACTAAGTTTAAACATATAATGTAAGAATTATGAAAGATACATAAATATTTAATGTTCTGAAATTTAAAAAGTAAACATTGTAATAGGTTAAAATTCAAGGAACATGTGTAAATACTCAAACAATCAACGTTGTATAAGACACAATTAAAATTTTATTTAATAAAACCAATCAATGGTCATAAACAACACTATATATACACACACACACCTTGAACTGAAATCAGAGAAAAGAGGTGTATTCTTGTCAATTCATAATGTGCAGAGTTAAAGGAAAGTACTTGTAGAATAGAAACACACACTTTTACGATAACAACAACAGAAAAAGGAGCATGGGTGAAATGTAATTAATCATCCACCTTTCAGACCTTAACTTTATTTCAATAACCATGGATAAATGACTTAGAGCCATATACTTACACAAATTGGAACCAATTGGTTATTTATGTAGTATGAACTACAAAAAATGTAGATGACCAATGCAAGAAGTGTGAACAAGAAGGCCAGCACTCCGGTTGCCACAAAGAATTCTGCACTGCTTGAAAAGTCCCATGGAAGCTTCACAATGCTCACATTACCTTTACAATCTTCTACTGTTATGGGAATATGAGACAATCTAAACAAAAAAGGAATATGAGACAATCTAAAAACTATTTCTTTAAGATGCAAGTTTATTAAAAAAATATATGAATCTGCTCTCAGGTTTTATTTCACAGGTTAAAAGTTCCACAGCATTAAATGTTTGCATGAAAAATAGCCAGTAAGAGGAAGAAAAATGATATTCATCAGAAATAACTTAAATATCAAAAGTATTCTGGAATAGTCAATACATGACACTTTAATATGTACTTCCTTACAAGTTCCTAACTTATCAAATACGTAGTACTAAAAACAGTTACCAAACCTACCACTTATATTTTAGTTTAAGTTTGCTAGTACTCAAGTACTAAGCTTTAGTCATTACACAGTTCATAACAGTTATATAATTTCCAGTCAATTATAAACACAATAATACTTTACAGTTACATAAAAATTATGTTAACCCCTTACTTGAATGAATATCCAAAGTTTAAATCCACTTGTTTGAATGTCTCATTACCACAGTCTATCTTAAATGAAGTGTGGGTACTGAATCCTGAGGTGGTTGCAAAAGCAAAGATGGACATTATCTGTTACATGAAGAATAAAGTGGAAAGTCGCATGATTAAATAAGCTTAAGACACAAAAATAAACCAAAACTTTATTGTATTATTAAAATTTCAAGTTATTAAATGATGAATAAGCGCATTATGATAAATATGCCTGTAATGTATATAAAAACAATTAATATTTATATTAAGAAATGACAACTTCTAAAGAACATCAATGACAAAAATATTTAAGCCGCAAAACATAGTAATATATTATGTCACTTCTAAAAATAATAAAAATTATTATGATGTAATCTAAAAAAAGAAATAAGTAATTTTTTGCATTTCTTAATGTATTTTATATGGAGTTTCTATAATAATTTTACTTTATTTATGAAATGACTAAATGTATTGATAACTTACATATTTCCAAACCCCAAAATGTCTTTACCACAATCTATCTTAAATGAAATGAGGAAACTAAATTCTGAGGTGGTTGCAATGGCAAATATAAAGTGGAAAATGTACGAGCTACATCAACAGGAAAAAATTACATTAGAGGCCTACGACAAGTTGTACCACAGCTGTTGTAAGCAAAGTGTGGTGGATTGTAACAGGTGTGAATTCATGAACACAAAAGTCAGTGGCAAAAGCCATCCACGTTCCACAGGCAACATAGTCAAGATGAAACTATCTGGAAACAAGGCCAAAAGGGTATGGATTCACTAAGATATGGCTTCCAGTCATACCCTCGTTAAACCATTACATACATCAAAAAGTTGAAGACTGAAATAGGTATTTATGCTGTTTCATACAAAGACACACCGTAAAGTTTCCAAATTCAGTACATATGCATTTGTGCATGATCGGACTGTTGAAATGGGCACTGGTAAACTGTAGTAACTCAATACTTTTATTTATGACAATGCAAAAGTTTTGGCAATGTTGTATTCATCTTTCTTTATGTTGTTTTAGTTTAGAAATACTTTTGGTTCATCTTTTAGTTGATCAGATTTAAATATTTAGATAATCAATGCTAATGACACTTGTGAAGCTATATGATTATACTCTCTATAAATACTAATTTCAGATAACTTCATTTGTCATTCAGAGTTATTTAATGAAAACACCCATTTATAATTATCAATAACCTTTGATAAAATATTAACTTAGAAAATAATGTAGCAAATTTGATATGCTGGTCAAACTCTGAGCATGCAATGTAATAGAACTTATGATTAGAATACATTGATACATCAGATGAGTACTCATACTGTTACTGATATTTGTGGCCTAAATCTGTTAATGAAAGTTTATGGTACTATGTCTATCATATTCCAGCTGGTCTGGTGAGCTTTGGTATTGGGTGAAAGGTCATGTCAGCATTGGATATGGCAGATGTAATGTGTTTGACATATTACAAGATATTTTTTTATTTACTTTCATAAACTACCTTTTATAATTACTAATGTGATTTACTCCCTCTGATGTGGTGGTTGCTCGACCCTATATAGAAACAACTCTAACTTGCTAGTTTGTCAGTTAGTTCAAATAAAATAATAAAAGATAAATAATGGATGTTTGGAATGAATAAATACTATTGTTTTATTCATCTTTACCCTAAAAACCTGTTTTGTAAATGTTGTGAAGAAAATTATTAATAATTACAATTCACTTAATCTAGTTCACACTATAGCAGTCATTGTTCAAGAAAGTTGATTAAAATGACAGCTAGACTATTACTATGTTTTTCATATTCCAACTGGCCTGATGAGGAGTCTTATCAGCAATGTGTATGGCAGATGTAGTGTGGTTTACATATTATAACATATTCTTCTACACTTTCACTCTAAATTTCTTAGAATCAATAATATCTTGAGTGGTTTGGCTAGCTTAGGAGATTTAATTAATCTGCAATTCACATACTATGCTAATAATGCAAAACAATGCTCTTAATAAAAATTCAACTAATGAAACACAATAAAAATATTATACATTACACAATTTGACCAGCTATGTTAATAAAACTAACTTCTTAAAGCAAGAATATAAGTAAACTTACAAGGCACATATAAATCAGTAGTTTGTTTCATCAATATGAAAACTTTATATAATCCTCCTTAATAATACCTAGTCAAATTAAACCTATTGTATTCCTCTTAATTTCATCTATTTGGTACATTCCTACTGTCTATTGAAAGAGTCAATTTAATAGAATTATAAAGTGTTATTAATTTGATGCCCCAAAAAGTTCTTTATTAAAAACACTCCATCTACGGATGACCAGCATTAAGTCAAATACAGATCTCTTAAAGTGCCTTTTTTTTAACCTCTTTTTTTAAATTCTCAAATAAAATTAGAATACAAATAATACTTGTTTTGTAATTCAAAAGTGTTTTTGCACATGCAAATTAATCAGGACAATAATTAACAATTACAAGCATAGCCTAAGGCTGCTCAATAAATAAAAAAAAGGGGTAATAGAAAGTACAATAAACAGTGTTAAACCTTGTGGTATTGAGAAAATATGAGGTAATTTCTGTGAAAAGATTTAAAGAACACAAACACTAACCTATAGATACAAATGTGATTGACTATACATAAATTTTGTTCACTAAAATGAAAAGATCAGAACAAACACAGATGTATGTACAATATTGTGACAAGTATTTGAAAGATTGAAGTTACTGAATTGCAGCTCAGAGATCATAATACATGGTCCAATTAAGACTAATCTCCATATCTGTATCAGTAAAATTTAGAATATAATATATAATAGTTATACTTACATTATCTAGTTTTCAGGAACAAACATAAGTATCTTGTATTAACAGTTTTAATATTATAACTTTGAACAAAGAGTTTTTTTATTAAGGCATAAGCTTCAGGCTTTTTGCTTAGTTCTCTAATATTTATTGATAAATACTGTTTTTAAGCTTTAAGTTATATTTTCAAAATAACAAAATATTCTACATAACTACTTACAAATTGAATAGCCCGTAAAAAACCCAATGGCTGTTTTAATATCTGTAGATTCATGTTCTCCATGATACCCTGAAAAATAAAAATACCCATACCAGCAAGATAAACCAGTCAGTTTTTTTTTAACTATAAAACTTTTTTTTTATTATTAAAAATTGGTTAAAATGGAAAATACAAGCTAAATAATAATGTTTATAATCAAAATACAAAAAAAGTAATTAAAACCATTTTATAAGATCAAGCATCATAGCAATCAAGACTGACATTTTACAAAATTAAATGGACTTCAAAAACATTTTTTAAACCTACATGACCAATGAGCTATCTGCAATATCTCATTGTCTATGGCCTCTCTTAATTTTTCCTAACATAATTTTATTTCAAATTCTCACTTTAATTTATATAAGGACTCTATCAACAGCCACTATTTGAATGAAAATATGCAGATTATCTGGCCAAATCATTCATCCTGAAAGTCTTGCAAAAGAAAAGAAGAAGAATATTCATCAAATATCAGGCAACTATTTTAATATGTTAACTTCATTCTGGATATACCTAATACTAAAATTTCCATATTACTCAACAGGAGAGAGTCTCAACAAAGGAGTATGTAGTCCTTAGATAGGGAAATACCAAGCTTTATTGTTTTTATAATGTTCCTCAAAATTATTTTTGGGGCTTTTTAAAACTAAATGTAATCTTGTAAATATACTAACATGTTTATCTATGACCTCAAAACACTAGAAATGTACATTTTTTTCATGTACTTTTAACAAATCACTACCTTTATAACAACTGAAAAGCAAAAAAAAAACAAAATCCTAAATTGAATTTACATTTGTTTGAAAATACATACCTTTATTTTCTGTTGCTTTATGATATAATAAACATGATGATAATTAAAAAATGTTAAATAATTTTACCTCTTATAAAATGACCACTTTTAATTCCAATGTCTTCAATAATAATTTCACAAGATATATTTTTGTTAAAAATGTTAGTATTGAGTATTCATGATTACACAAACATTCCCATCAACATACAACTATTTCGAGAATCTAGCTAAACAGTTTCTTTCAGTAAAAGTTTTTATAGTGTTATGAAAATAATAAAATTTAAAATTTGGCTGACATCAGCATACTTTCCCTGAAAGGGGACCAAAGGCCACCTGAAGGGGGTCACCTGTTTTAACCATTCACACCAGTATACAGTAGTGTGTCATCTGTCAGTTAGTAGGAGATGCTAAAATGATGTCACATAAAGGACACTTGGCAATGCAAGTAAAATGTGCAAATGCCATGAATCACGAGAAGAATTATACATTCTGCTACAACATAGCTAACAATATTAAGGTTTTGGGTGTTGCTAGCTGTGAAGAGGATGCTGCTGATTTACAAAAGGATTTACAACATTTAGTGAGTTGGGCAAATATATGGCAGATGTGTTTTATTATAATAAATGTAAAATAATGCATGTGGGTTATCATAATTTGGATGGTAATAACCTTAACAGTGTCATGAAAGAAAGAAAGATCTTGGTGCAATGGTTGATCAGTCTCTTAAGCCATCCAAGCAGTGTGCTGTTGCTAGTGGTAGGGCAAATAGGATTTGAGGTTGTATCTACAAAAAATGCTGAATACAAGTCTAAAGAGTTTATAATTTCATTGTATAGGTCACTGGTTAGGCCACATTTGGAGTACCATGTTTAGTCTTGGGCTCCTTACCACAGGAAAAACATTGAATTGTTGAAAAGGGCTTCAGAGGAAGGTTATAGAATGATGCCTGGGATGGAGGGGTTGTCATACAAGGAGAGGTTAAGATCTTTGAAATTGTTTTCTATTGAAAAAAGAAGAATTAGATTCTGATTGAGGTATTTAAGATTGTAAAGGGAATAGTGTTGATACATCATCTTTTTTCATACTTAAAGGTGAGGACAGTATGACTATGGAACACAAATATAAATTTTGGCAAGGTAGGAGTCATCTTCAACTAAAACAGTTTTATTTTTCTAACAGGGTGGTTGTCCTTTTGGAATGGATTGCCTTCAGATGTTGATAAGGCAGTAAATTTGAGTTTAAGAGAAAGCTAACTATATGTATGATAAGGGCTGGCTTTAAGATTTTTTAAAATTTATTTATGATCCTAGTCAGTCATAAATCCACCTAAAATTACATTTTCGCCAGAAGAAAATTAAAATTTCAGAATCCCCCAAAGTAGACGTGGAGTAGTGCAAAAGATCCAAAAGCCAGTAAAACAAAGAAAGAGAAGGAACAGGCAGAGCAAGATGTTCTTAAGAAAATGTGTGCTGAAAAATGTGTTTCATTACAAGATTTGGACATTGAGATTGAAGATGTACCAGAAGAAAACTAGAAACATGTTTATTCGCACTAATTATGAATTGAAATTGAATAGTAACATCATTGAAACTAAAATAACCCTAATATTAGCTAAAATCAAAGCATTCCAAATTAAACTAAAACTGTTAAATAAATAAGATCCCAGTCAGTGAGAAACCCACCCAATGGGGAAAGTGTGCAATAGGTGCGGAATGGTCTAAATAGGCGAGAGCAGCTTTCATAATTTGAAAATTCTTTCTGTTCAAGGAGAAATAGGTGAAACAATTGGCTACATCCCAACTTTTCAGAAAATCAAAGGAAAGAAGAATGAAACAGCCAAGATGGACCAACATGTCCCTTGTTGTCCATAAACATTATGTAATGACATATGAACTTTGAAAGCAAGAAATAAAAATACTTGTTACTCTTAATTTTGGTTTTATTTACTCCTGAAACAGAACAGTTGTGGAGACTCTGCAGAAGTCCATCTAGTACATAGTTTTATTAAATTATTGAGCTTTGGAGTTATAAAAGTTCACTCTTTATTACAAGGTGGTTAATTTTAAGGTCAAGGTTAAATATTTGTTTATGCTGTAAATTAGTTTCAAAATACATGGCTATAGATTGTTGGACATTTACAAGTAAATTGTAATTGTAACCAGATAATATAAAACTGTTAAAGTCAATAATGAACCACTTTTAAACAGAACTCAAAACCTAACATCACAAGTTATTTCCATCTCATAGTGTCAGATACATGCAAGATTACCTATTTTAAATATTGCATAAGACAGCAGCACTGTTCCAGAAATGTTATCACATGAGCAGTTTACTTCAATCATATTTCCATATTATATTTCCTACATGAATTGAACCTTGCAAGGGGTACAAAATTAAAAACATAACTCAAAGTAATACATGAAATTCAACCTACTGTAATGGTGGGGGAAAATAATTTAAACACAAATATTTCTTTGAACTTAAGTTTTAATGAAAAAAAAAGATCCCATTTTTATTGTTGATAATCCAGGCATGATTATGAACATTCAGGTCAGTTGCACATAATAGTCAAATGTAATAAAAAAATCTGGCAAGAATAAAATTTTTCTAGTAAAAAACACACACACACAGATAATTCACCAATAAGCCTTTTCTGGTAGCATTTTGCACATCTTTCAATGGAACTCCTAAAGTTTAAAATAGCAAGTGAAAACAGACATTTGAAGTAACATTTCAGTTCATTCTTTTTATTATTATCTCATATTAAGATATGTAATTATTATCATAAACACAGATAAAAAATTTAATAGTATATTAAAAAATATAAAATCAAAAATGCAATGCTTCCTGAAAATTCACATCAGCTTACTAGTTATATCCACTAATTCTGAAGAAAAACATCTGTTAAAAATTTAAAAGAATCCAAACTATCAATACATAAGAAGCCAAATACACTTCATAACTATTCCTTAAGCTAATCACCTCATCAGATGTAACATTGCCTTAACTAATGTACAATTTTTTTATAATTATCTTAAAAACCTAAAAACAGGTTTGCCAAAGTCTTTCTCTCCAGTAAAAACATATCAAAGGAGTTTAACTTACCCCACAAACCTGAATCATTCTTGTACAGTAGCTCATCTCCAAACCCTCTCAACATACTTTTTTTTTAATAAGGTAACCAAAAGTGAACACAATATTCTAAATGAGGTATAAAGAACTTATTTTTATATTATATACTGTAAGCCTTTGGCTTTTGAATGCACTAGCAAATGGTTCCTAGCTATGTTTTCCCACTAGTAAATTTGGGACTGTTACTAGCAACAACACAATTAATCTCTAAAATTAACTGTAACTGTGTCATAATTAATAATTTCATGTATTAAAAGTTAATAAATATGTACATATCATATTTATATGTAAATCTTATGTATACTGCTTTATTTTCAAATATCAGAATTAATTTTGATGTAATATTTTCAACACTTTTGTGTCCTCTTCAGTTCAAATGTTGGGCTGAAAAGCACAAATGAAAATGTTGAAATTTGTGTCCCTACAAGTTTATTTTTATTTTTTGTAACAGTGTATCTAAACTTTATTTTACTTTATATGGTATTATGTATTTACCTACTGCTATTTCACAAAAGTTAAAGGATAACTTTGCTGGAACCTGGTGTATCTTGTCTACAAATCTGGAAGGATAAACTGCTATAGTATCTCACTGCTGACAGCCTTCCTATACTAAAAAAAAAGTATCTTATTATCAAATGGTATTGCTTAAATACCAACACCTTGTGAAGTGTTAAAAGTCAATAGGCCTAACATCTGTGTTAACAATGGACAAATTAGGAGGAATGTTGGGGAACAAAAATCAACAGTTTATGTGATTTCTATTTTATCATTACCTCCCATGACCAACCACTTGGGCACAGTATTTTTAATTATACTGCTGGCAAAAATGCCCTGCAGAGGCCAGATGTCACAAGTGTAGCTGGCTGGCCCATGTGCTAATTGGTCTTGGCAACAGCAACTAATTAAAATAGGTTGAAACCCAGTCATACATTATGAGAAAATATCTGGTTGTATGTAAGAAGGATGTGCAGACAGGCCAGAGAGTCTTTGTCCACCTAAGGGCTTAGGGGCAGAAGTGCACAGAAACTTGTTTTTTTTATATTTAGGGAGGGGAAAAAACTGCCTATTCCTTACACCTATGTTAATTTTGAGAAGAAAATGTTTTGTTTTGTGAGTAATCATTAATTTTCCATACTAATGTCAACATTCAGTGTAATGAGTAATATTAACTAGGGCAATTATGCTTTCTGAAAACTTGCATGAAGCATTTTCCTAGTCAGCAGTAACAACGATAGAAAAATCTGTAATGATGTGTAAAGGAATATTCTGTGTATTCTAACCACTCTTTCCCTTCTGCTTACACAATGATTTGCAATCAAATATTCATCATCAATGATAAATAATCTGTCTACAATTGCTTTATCAACAAATATTTATCCATTTTCATACCTTTTCAAACTCATACTTCAGTGTCATTTGCCAGCAAAGTCAAGGTACTAGTATGAAAATTATGGATTACAGCATGAGGAAAGTTAAACAAATAGGGTAATAAAAATATAGATTTCAGCAAACAGATGATCAAAACGTAACAAAATTATGAAAAAGAAGACGATAATTGGGAGGCTGCAGTAAATTTAAGGGAAGGATCAAAATAGTTCTGAATTATTGTTGGCCTTGAGTTTTTGTTTTCTAAGTTTAGTTTAATGGATATACCGGTATGTCCTAGATGGACCAATAGGTCCTTCATTGTCCTTAAATTTTCTGTTATTAGTAACAACCCTGATTTCATTATACAGTTTCTTATAAACTCATCTGCCTATAAAAGTTGCCAATTAAAAGTTTATACATTTGAAATCTCCGATTGCAACCCATATATATTGAACATCTCTTAGTTAAAAGTTTTAATGATAAATCTATAACATTTAGATAAATACAACAGATTAATGAAAAGCTTAGTTGTTATCATTTTAACGTTATAAGTCTCACAAACAAAATGGATCAGCTCAAGCCTCAAACTAAGAAAAGAGACTATGACATGATGGAAATTATTGAAACTTGGTTAAATTTGGAGAACACTGATAATGAAAATTTTATATGAAGGAGTCTCCATATAACAGATAAGCTATAGATTGTTGGGACTGATGACATAAAAAACAGTACTTAACTTATGTTCTAATGTTAATTTTTTCAATCTACTTTTTGTCCTAATTATACTATCAAGTGTTTTTATTCCCAAACTCCTTCACTACTGCACAAGTGTAAACTATAGTTACTTAGACCTTGGACTTCCTTGAGTGCTGGCTCTCTCGAAACCAACAATGGTCTTATTGAACCATTTTCCATCCACAATAAATCAGACTTGAAACATCCAAGTTTGCCATGTAGCAATAACATCATATCCATACCTGGTAGTTGCAATGACATACATGCTACATAAACGTATCCTTTGTTGGTGGTAATCTGGCTGCTGGTTTCTCTGTTGTTACAGTTACTATGACATACTGAAGTTCATCATCATTACAGAGAAGTCCACTTCCCTTCTTTTTGTTGCTATGTAATTTCAGGGCAAAGTCTCTTGCAACTGTCTTAATATTACAGGATACTTCTAGTATTACCAAGAAACAAAAGCTGTTTCAAGGCAGTCTTCTGCAGGATATTCATTGCCAAACATTTACCAGTCTGATAACAGATATCAAGTGCTGTCATAGCCTTTTAAGGCATGTACCACTGACAACCAATGGCAAATATTTGTGCCTGCACTGGTAATGACTTCATGAATGGGAATAAATCTCTGATTATTTGTTGACTTTTCTTAACGACTTGCCTGCATGAAAGTGTCATTACTAATGTATTCAAAAGTACAGCTGGGTGATTAGTTGAATTCAGTAATTGGTTACACTCAACTAAGAAAAAAAAATAAATTCTGAAAATAGGAAGATTAATGTTATGTGAGAATAAAATAGAAATATTTGAACTACCCTATGATAATGGTAGATATTGGATAGCAAAGGTCACAACTTATTCTTACAGTCATTACAATGACATAGGGTTGGTAAGAAATGGAAACAAAATATTACTTTTTTTTAGGTCTTAATACACACAGAACAGTTCCTACATACTAATGATGTCTGGTCTAATTACTAATGGTGAACTATAAATGTGGTATCTTCTTTTTCACATTCAATTTCACTCCATTTTCTCTGCAATATATCTACAGTTACAGTGGAATCTGTTATACTGGTCTTTAACTCCGTGACGTTTGCTGTAGGTGTGTAATATAATACATATAATTCCTCACTAGATCACTACAACTGTATTATAGATCATAAACTTGTAAAAATAGTAGCCAATACAATAAGTAACAACCAACAGTGATCACAATTAAATTTGCTTGTTTAACATTAAAATTAATGTTGTCTTCACACTATGTAGAAATGTCAGTATTACTTTAGATTTTGTTCAGAATAGATTTTTCACATGAAAACTAGTGATTTAATACTATCATATGTCTGGTTGACACCTAATCAGGTTTGAGATAGGTTCCAAGATGTTAAAAACTGCATGGTTGTAGTTCCTTAGTTACTTAATTATTAAATTAAATTGTAAAATAGGAAAGGTAATTTTTGATCACCCTATATTTAATTAAGCAAGAAACTTCCATTAACATAGAAGCTAAGTTTACAATGTGTTGTCTGCATTTTCCTTTATATTGGACTAACAGATGTATTAAAGTTAAAAAGTATATCTACATTGAAGTATTTAGATGAACTTAAAATATTGATGAATTGGTATGAAACAAATATGTAACATTATATACTTAGTTCAATAGGATTTTTATGTGGTAATATCTAAATTTTGCAAGCAAACATAAACAAGCACCATTTCCTTTGAATTTGCCAACTATGTGTCTTTTCTTTTTTGCCATGTCAGTAAATACACAAATTCTCCTTTCTTTGTAAATAATATGAACAACTATAATACATTATCATCGAAGTCACCAAACATTACATCTCCCAAAAACAGCTATGACAGAATCATGGCTGTTGTTAATGTTATCTCTCCAGATGTAACATTGTTTGCTATACACTTGAGATTGTTTACAATAAAACCATAAAATAAAGTACTATATAATGTGCCTTCTTAACTTTTAAATAGAAGGTTTAGAATCACCAATATTAAGTATTGAAAAATGTGGTCAATCGGGTTACTGAATCCTCCCTTCTCCCATTTTGTTTTAAGTTCTAAATCACTGCAATAAATACAGTAACCACATTAATTATGTGATGATAATATCACAGTAAACCTTTTCATTATCACTAGACTATGTATGTTATATTTTTCAGTTCTTTTAATAGTTGGAAAAAAATGGGCAATTTTTTTTCCTGCAGATCCATTATATTTAACACCTGTGTGTGATATCATGGATCCTCTCCACAGAATAATAGATGCAATAAATAACATGACTGTCGAGATGCTGAACAACGCCTTGAGGGAGATAGAGTCTCGCCTAGACATTCTTTGAGCAACAAATGGTACACATGTGGAAGTATACTAAGACAAGAAAAAAATTCAAGTTGTTCATCAAGTTAAATAAAACTAGTTTTCTATCTATAATATTTTTAAGTTATTAATTTTTAAAATTGGTTAGATAATTTATAGACACCCTGTAGTTCCAAAGCGTTTTGCTTACATTAGTGGTAGATATGTATTGTAAGAGTAAACAATCCCTTATTGTTTTTCTAACAGTTAAAAACACCACCAAATATTTTTTTTTTTGTATACTGAGTAACAGACATGTAAAACAAGACATAAACCAGGGGTTATATCTACAATGTTACATTTCGAAACTGATGTTGCAGCACTAACACATGCTATATCAATTAACAGAAGTAAAATTATATGATTAGTTGAAACATTTTTCGAACTAAAGAAGGTTACCTCAGTACCCTCGTAAAATAGCTAGTCAATAAACATCAAAAGAAAGATATTGAGAGAAAAACCTAAATTACTATTACTCACTGCTACTACACTGTACTAATACATTTTGTACTAGAAAAATTACACCTATTAACTTCAGCACTAGGGATTTTATTTGAGAAGTCATGAGGAAGTCTAAAGTTTGCTGGAATTTAGGATGCTAATCTTTGAAATTACAAAGATAATGAAAAGTCATTCTAAATTTGATTGTAGTTTATTGTAATTCCTTTGAGTTTTACTAAATGCTTTCTGGCAGTGGTGTAGTCTTGCAAGAGAGCAGCATCCCCTCATTTCATGTGCAAGGGGAGCATGCTCTAATATTTCAAATGCAAATTACTTCACATGTTGCCTTCTAAACATTCAAATGTGGATTTATGAGACTGTAATGATGTCTCTAATAAAGAATATATAAAATAAAGTTTTTATCATTAGCTGAGAGTTCTCTGACCATATATCAAGGTCTGAGAGAGAAACCTCAGGCCCCTGTATTACTTTTGATTCCTGGCCCCTTAATTAACTCTTACCTTTAATCACCCCTCAATCTCCAAAATTTTTTTTCTGTCAAGATATTCCTGATAATTGTCATAGTTTTAACACTTTGAAAGCCATATGAATTTTACTTAGTTTCTGCTATACTGCCACAGCCTATTACAATAGTCAAAACACCCTAGCTTGAAATGTCTTTTCCTGAAAACAACATAGTTGCAAGCAAGGAAATAATTAATATGGCTAAAGTGCATTCAAGAAAATTACAAGACAATCTCAGCAAGTAATTCTAGCTAATGAAATATGGTAACTTGGGGTACATTTCAAAGGACTATTTTTTACTTTTTTTTTAATGTTATTGTCATCATTTCCTATGGAGTTCATTGTAAAATCCCCAAGAAAATGGTTAAAAGATAATTTATCAAGCTGATTTTTAAATTATCCTGATATTTGATCATTCAAACCAACTGTATGACTTCATTTGATTGGCAGTCTGAGGTTGAGAAAAAATTGAATTCATTCATTCAAACGGCAGTCAAAGTGTTAAGTTCTCCATGCTCTATCATAGCATCCAAGTATTTCAAAATATTTGTCCCTTTTACTTGTCCACTGCTGCTGTCATGCAAGTGTGGTTCAGGTTCTTATCCATCAAGTGAATGCATTATATGAGTATTTCTTTAAAAACATAAGAAACTAATAGGAATAGTATTTCGTAAAAAGTTATAGTCGTATGGAAATTGGAAACTTGTTTTATTTGAATCACAATATTTAGCTTTCATAAATAGAGAACAAAATTGTGATATCACCATAAAAATTAAACACTGAAGTTAAAACGGATCAAATGTATCTAAAAGATCTTTTTAGCTTTTTGGCAGCAAAGGATTCAATAACATCATTAACATTAACATTTCCTTCCAACTCACTTTCAATGCTTAAAATTTTTAAACCAGCCAATCTTTCCTGTCTCATTATGATTCTTCATCAGCTTCATCTTACTGAAGCTTAGCTGAAACAGTAATTGGCAACATCAAAAAACAAGTAAAGTAATGTATATATTAGGAAATAAATCCTCCAACTTCAGCTTTGTCATTTTGTTAAGAAGACAGAGTGGAGATAGTGACACAACATTCATATTTGCTCTATGGATTGTCTTTGGATGTGAAACTTTATCTAGTAACTTTTCTCCTGAAATGTCATCTTGATATTCTATTGCAAGTTTCTTGCAGTAATTGCCAATCACCTCATTAGTTTTATAAAGATAAGACCAAAGAAGTTCAAACATTTCGTAAATCTGAAATGTGCCCAATACTGCCAATTTATGCCTTCTCATACATTGTCAATAACCCTGTAAAATACTTTCTCCTTAAACCTAGTTTCTGCTGTTGTATCTACAACTGCAGCTCAAGTGTCTGACTCGCATTCAAAAAAAATTTCCTTTCTTTTACAATGATGAGCTTATAGTAGAAGTGAGTCAATGTCCATTGCAGTGGCAACCACCTTTGCATCTTCATAAATTGAAGGCCACTGATTTCTCAAAGTCTTCAAATCAATCTGTAGTCCCTCCAAATTTATAACTTTAACATTTATGGTAGAATTCTGAGCCTGTGTTATCCAATTTCATTGGTCTATAGCATTCAAAGCTTTAAACCAGAAGGCTACCATCCAAACATACTGGAAAGATTACACGTAATTGACAACACTAGACATTTCCATCTTAGCCTTAGCTGTCAAACTCTTTAGTTCAAAGGTGTCTTTGAGGGTAAAGAGATTGCCTGGCAAATGACAGGCAAATGGCTGGATGCTGAGTACTCTGTTCATCCATAGAGTCCCTGATCAACAAAGAATGTAGCTTTTGAGGATGTCCCACCATTTTGGACTACCAAAGCAGAGAACATACAGTTTTCACCACCACAAAAAAAGTTACCACCTCTTTGCAACAAGCAGAATCTGCACTACACAGATTAAGAGAATGACAGCCACAACATGACAAGATTCAAAGACAATTCTTCCTCTTGAGAGGATTCTAAACTCCAATCTAAGAGCCAGACATGTACTGGTGTTGTTGTAACTCTGACTTCTACAGTCTTTAAATAGAATATCACTGTCACCAAGAAATCTCCATGCCATCTTCCCATTGTTCCTCCATAAATTAATAAAAACATTCTTGGATTTTGTATTCTTTGAATGCCTAAGTTAAGTATCTCAAGATAGATACACTTTCTCAGTGTGTGATACATCTAGAGTGGTTTCAACTATGAATACAAATTATTGAGAATTTTCACATTCATTTAGGATGAAAGATCTAACCTTTTCAGTACAGAGCTTAACAATTCATTTTGTGAGGAATATGACAGATATTGAGCCTGAAGACACTTTTCCAGTTTCTGAACTTCTCTCACCTTAGTTACATGTTCATGATAGGATAAAAGCTCAAGAAAATTACCATCACTAACATCACCTATTGTTTAATTCACCCTAAAAGAAGAAACCTCTTTCTCCTATAGTAATAACAACATCAAGGATTTTCTTGAGGAGGGTTTTCAATTTATGTTTCTGGCTTAATGTTTTGCATTAACTGACCATAAATGCCAGACTTTCAACTGACACCATTCAATATAACTTTTTATGATAGGTGTTATTTTTAAGCTCTTGCAGACAACTAATTTTTTTTTCTGCCTATGTAGGCTCTTTACCAAACCCACAAGTTGTTAAGAAAGAGGTTTTGGGTGCCTGACTAACTCGTGAACCTGGCAAGGTAAGCAACACATTTATGACAACTAAAAACCAGCTAATCTCATTTCTTAACCTCACAATTTGGTACTTTTTCAGAAAATGGAAATGGCTGGCCTCTACAATCTGAAGGATTTTCATTAGGTCATGATTGAAGGTGAATTACAACATAATCCTCAATATGTGGACTCAACAGATTTTCAACAAGTTCTGAGAGTTCTACCACTAATAATGTCTATTCCATTTTTGTTTTGTCTATGATATCCAAAGCACTAGAAGTAGATGGTAGACTTCCATTTATAGATTCACTGGCATTTTCTGCAATCTTCTTGATGCCAACTTGAGACAATGTTCTGGCACAATTTGACTCTACATCTTTGCTTGCCATTTTGTCTTTTCTGTGCACCTGATTTTGTGATGGTAAAATTCAGACATGGTTAACCACCAAATTGAATAGAAAAATTACAACAGAGCAATATTTATTATATTGGCTTGATAATTCTGCTTTCAATTATTACTAATAGCCTAGATATTGTAAACCAGATGAAAAGGAACTTTGACTTAATGTTTTTTTCAACAAGATCTTACCTGTTTAATCTACAATCTATTGTGTAAATGACCAAGTGAGCATCTAGAATGCTCTTCCCTAACACAGGAAAACTCTGCATGTACACATATTGTACGTGACAGTAACTTCACAAGAATATGTTGCAAAATTCACTCCAGTTAAAAGTTACATTTCGAACTCATTCCTTTTGTGCATTTATTATTATTACTGAAAAGAAGGCTTTGTTGGTATTGTGTGTGTGTGTGTGTGTAAGTAAAACATATACTCAAGCCCAGTTTTCCCCTGGGCTTAAGCTCTGATGTTTTGGCACCTTATGCATCCCCCTTCTCACAGGCCCTGCCCTAAATTTATCATTATACCACTACTTTAAAGATCACACAAGAAAAAATATGTAACAATATCATTCAGCTCATAAAGATACCCAAGAGATAAACAATTAACACCATTAAAATTGCTGGAAAAAATTAAACATCTAACAGTAACGCACGTTACTTTATCTAATAAATCATTCCAAAAGTTAATATCTGCTAAGAGGGAGGGTTATTAATACTAATACTGTTAGTATTGCAATGTTACACTTACAGTCTTACTACTAATAACACAACACTGTAATTTGCAAGTGGTAACTGTTAGTACTAGTGTTAGAAATGCGTAGCTGAACGTATGTTTTCAAAATAATTATAATTCATAACTAAATATAACTTTATAAGTTACGTAGGTAACTAGTGTAGTTCACTAGTATTCGTTGGAAGTTATACTTATTTCTGCTAATACTTAGAATATCATTCCTAACGTTATCTTTCCATATAGAATAAAATGAACTCACAGAGACGACAATAAATATACATACTCACATGAGAGAGTGAAGACCAACTATACATAAAAATAAGTATAAAACTATAACAATTTATGGTAACTTATAAATTTCTTGAGAGGGAAAGGACGACTGATCTACCCAAGTGGCGTCCGAGATTAGTTCTAGTATCAATAGGCAGAGCTAAATAATATCTCTGTAATTTTCCTAAGTTAAATTAACTGCCCTTACAAAAATGAAAACAATAAACAGCAGGGATGTTCTTATATTCTACATTTCATACTTTCTCTTCAAAACATACCTTTTCTTTTTTAATATCAGTTTGGCTAAGTTTACAAATACGCCCTCTGTAACTAATAACCCTATATACTCAATAGTAGCGGTAAATATGAAAAATAGATACGCTACATCTAATTAATATATCAAAAATCAAACGCGTTACATCAAATCAACTGGATCATAATCACATCACATTTGTGAAACTAAAAGAGAACTAGTTCTAGTTTATTATAAAATGAAAATCTGTGTAACAAACAAGGACATATTTTTAACTTTGCTTCTGTTGCTTTTGTTCCAAGTTTAGAAATAGACAAGACAGTTACTCTATATTCAACAATGATGAGTTCTTGGATCTAGTATTTGGTTTGTTTTCTCAGTGCCAAGCTACACAACGGACTAGCTGCACTATGTTCACCTGGAAGAATCGAACCACGGAATATAGCGTAAACCTACCACTGACCCACCTGTGAACCTAGAATTTGGAAGAATAGATTTATTGCTTTGTTGCAGGTAGGGTGAAAGAGACCCAGACATGTCATAAAGCTGAACAAAATGACTTTATTTGTAATGTGAAAATAAAACTAAAACAATGATTAGGATGAGAGATAGCAAGTGTGTCAACCCGAGTTCCCTACCAGTACGAGACAGATAGGCCTCAAGATAACAGCAGGTTTATCCAGGAATGAAGAAGAGAGTTTTGGGATGAGATAATTAGGCTGATCCCTTTTTAAGTGTGAAATAAAAATCTGGACAGCTTTAAGAGACCGAACAAAATATTTATTTCATTAATAAAACATAGATGTCTTAACAGCTTATTTCTCTTAAATTGTGTCTAACCCTACAGCCTTCTTTCTCTGCAAAAGAAGTAAAAAAGTGCGTTCGAATTTAACATGTAAACTTGTTTTCTTTGTCCATAAGATGATTTAACTTCGTGACCTTTGTTCCCTGACAGCATGGGTTGGCTATCATCGTCAATCAATGTCATAATCGGCCAGCAAAGGATATTGTTACGTCGCCGTTTTTTAATTGATTTTCCGTAACTTCGTTCCGACGAAACTTTAGCGACATAAGTCCTTACTTAATAAAACT